TGAGTTAGGCTGCCAGAAATAGCACCCATCATTGTTGTCATGAGTTTGTGGGTGCTTGAAAGGCTGTGTAATGTGACCTAGAAGTAAAGATGCAGACTGGGAAGCCAGAGGTTTGGTTTCTGTATGAGTCCAAAGCTGCTGCTATGGGAGAAACAAGACCCTTGAGGGTTTGAATTGTAAGTTCAGGTTGCGTATACGTTTAAATAAACCACATATTATAAAGACACTACAGTCTCTGCTGTGCCTCATTCCCAAAAGGAAACACCAAACCTGGATAAATGCCTGGAACCTCTGGAATCTTGCAATGCTCTGAGATTGGGGTGGCTGCAGCATTATGCTTGTATGAGGGCTGGATTCAGCCTGAGCATCTCAGCAAATAGTTACAGTGACAGATTCAAATAATGGTTGGCTTTATTGCTTCAAAGGAGGAAACGGTCATTGGTTATTTGTCCCAGCATGCTTTAGTACACTCTGTGATCTTTTGCACCTGAGCACAAATTTATCAGCTTGGCCTGCAAAATGCTTCTTGACTCGCAACCTTGAGACCATAATAAGTTGCACATGAGACTTCTATCTAGCTCTTGACAACTTTTTCTCACCTCGCCTATTTATTTTCTTTAGTACTGAGCCTGAAAAAGAATTCTGTGAGATCTTAAAGCTAGCTCACTGTTCTGCTATTTTTCGTAAAGACATTATGGCACAGTTCCTCTTTGGATTCCCCAACCCAAACCTCGATGGATTGACATGGTGTCTCCATTGTTTCATTTAGCTGCAGTCTTAGACTACCAGAGCAGAAATTTCCACCTGATTGTACATTCCAATACTGATGCAGCAAAATAAAATTTAAAAATCCAGTTTTTCACTGTGTAATTTTTGTTGTTGTTTTCAATGCAGCTCCAAAGAATGTGAGAAACATGGTAAATTGTCCCAATCCTCACAACAGCTTTGGCACAAAGAGCCAAACCACTCTCCACACATGTACCAGATAAAGTTGTATAAATCAGCATAAATAGCCAAATGGTCAATTCAGTCACAGTGATCTAGCCTAGAACTGGCAAGAGGGCATTGTTTTTACTGTCCTGTCACGGGGATGCAAATGGCGTTAATAACTTTTTGCACATGCACTGAGTTATTTCCATCCATTCTACCCCATTGCTCCTGGTGCAGCTTTTTGGGTGGGAAGATGAGGGAGAAAATTAGCAAGCCTACCCACACTTAGGTCCATGCACAGAAACACTTTCTGTTGACATGTTGGTATGGCCTATTTGATTCTATGTAACCTTCACGGCATGTTTTTACTATGTAGCCTTATGGGGAAAACAATGGCTACTTTCTAAAAAGACTTTTGTAGCCTCTTGCAATACCCTCTAGATTTAAAGGCCTGCCCTTTAACCCTGGATGCACTTCTCACATGCTTAAAAGCTCAGCCTTCTTTATCATTAGCCCTGGCTTCTGGATATAGGTTCAAATGAACAATGAAAATGAATGAATAAAAATAAACACGAACATAACCAAGCCAAAGTGTTGCAAGAGCATACATGAAATGTACAAAAAGCTGAACTGCAGTAAAGATAGCTGCATCCATAACTCATCGCTAATGTTATGCAAAGCAGACCTGCCAGATGTCAGAAATTAAGTCCTGACCAAATGGTTTGGACAGATTGTGCAGCCCATTAGACTACAGGCCAGGGACTCCTGCTAGGGTCAGGGTTGGCCTCAAAATTGCAACCTTTTGTAACTGTGCCTTTTAACAGCAGCCGAGATCCAGCAGGTGAAGGTTCGTCCAGCGTTTAGCTGGGGGAATTAGCTCAGTTCAAATGGCACACAGCTTGCCTAGCAGGTGACAAGTAGCAGGATCCACAAGGAAGGGCTTTGCAGGAGGCCCCAAGTCCAGGTCCTGGCATCTTCAGGTAGTGCAGAGAAAGAGTCCTTTCTGAAAATGCTGTCGCGCCACTGCATCAGTGTAGACAGTACTGCCCAGGTGGACCAATGGTCTGATTCAGTAGGCGAGAGCTCCACACTTTCTCATTCTATTTCCATGCCAGGAGTTAATTCACCTGCTGGATTTGCTGCTGGGCCACACACTGCTGGCTCAGGACCAAGCTGAGCTTAAGAAGTATCAGCCTTAATCTGGCAACACCTGATCATACTTTATTACACACCTTAACAATTCAACAGCAGCTTTTATTAGAGACTAGAGCTAGGGAGGCAAAACTCCATCTCGTAAATCTTCTTCCCCCTTCTCCTCCTTATTTAAATGCCAACTTTAAACCTCTCATTTCTTGTGGAAGATGAGCCCATTAATGGACGTGCGGCCTGCATCTAACTTAAACTGCCCAAAGTGACTAGTTAATATCAGGAAAATGAGAAGCAATCGTTCACTCCTCATCCCGTGGCTCACATGTCACCATACATAAAATCCGTTACCTTCTATAGCTCATCAAGCTTCTCCCCCCCCTTCATTTATTATTTAATAAACTGTTTATAGCATCCCTAATTACAAACATTTGTTATAGAGACCCAAGCAGAAATGTGTGAGAATATGCTCAATTGTTTCCTACCTAAAGTTTTAATGAGATAATACCTCCGGCCCATATGCTTTGAAAACGTTATCCTCAATTATGTAATGGGGGGGGGGGAGAAAGAGCAGGATTCGTGGGAAAGGAGGGGCTGCTTCTATCTGTTAACAGCTAGAACAGCTGTGGTTTTCAGCTTTCTTCTGCACTGTGCAGGAGAAAGAAACAAGTTCAGCTTCCTTATTTTTTGTTGTTGCAAAACCTCCAGGCTCAAACAGGTGTGTGCAATTACGAACCACAGTGATGAACCCAAACTGCTGCCTTTCTAAAAATTCCACTGCCCAGTGACACACTCTGGTTAAGGTTGCACAACCTTGTTTTCCACTGAGCTTCTTTTTTTAAAGATATTTTTTGATGATTCATTGCCCTCGTGGAGGTGAATTTCAATTATCGTTAATATCCTCCTTTGCTGATAGAGTAGCAAGAGAGGTTCCGCATTTAATTTCTCTTTGTCTCTCTCTCTTTGTTTGCTTGGGTCTGAGCTTTCTGAATAGTGGGGGCAAGGCAGCTTCAGGGTGCAAGGTCCTCAGGTTTCTCCTGTAGACAACAGCAGAGCCGACTACCCAGGTGCATTGGGCCTGATTTACACCCAACTGTTCAGATGAAACCCATCTGCCAGGGTCCCAGTAAGGCAGCAATAGGGAACCTGGGGTTCTCTAGACTTTTCTCCTGCATATGTGGGGGCGCCCCCTCCAAAAAGTATGGGATCTGCAATAGCGGGGGTGGGGGTCAAACATCAAGTGTCCCACCTTGCATGAGGGGAAATGCTGTGTTAAACCCTCCATTAGAAATGAGCAGAGGTTGCCAGCTGAGCAGAACATAAACAGTGAGGTCTCCTCTTGTGCCTTTAACAAAATAGTGATTTAAAGAAACCAACAGGTGAAGCTGTTTGGAGCATGGTGATAGATGCCACATACTAATAACTGCAGCTGGAGCTCATGTTGCAGGCGCCGTTGAAAAGTTGCAGCGTTCCTATCAGCTTTTTGCAGGTAGGCAGAAAACACAGATTTATTGAGCTTCAGCTCAACAGCCATCTAAGAGACATGGAATGTCTTCTCTCAATGGGGCATAATTTTTGCAAGCCTGACATGAGTGAAGCACATTTGAGATGCAATGATATTTAGGGCTGGCAGTACTCCCTTTATCTAACTTTCTTTTTTTTAAAAAAAACCTCATAGATATTTACTGATAATTAACAAGGAATAATCTAAAGCAGCTCTCAGAACAACAAGCTCAGTCGCTATCTGAGTTTCACTCCTCATGTCCATTCCCACTGGTGGGTTGGCGACAACTCCCTTGCCATTGCAGCAAATCCATGACTTTGCCCCTTGGAGCCCACTGGACTCAGTCAAGAGTGGCCAATGGACCGCCATACTTGTACTAGAATTTTGCACATATGAGGCATAACGCGCACACATACACCCAGAAAATTTAAGTCTTGAGTCAAACCTAAAGCCTGAGGAAATCATTGTGCACAAGCATAGCTGACTAGCCATGAAACAAAGTTCTACCGAATTGAAGAGGCTTCTTCCCAAGCAAATGTGCATCAGAATTCAGCCTTAAGGATGGTTGCACAGGTGAAGGTTTTTTCATGTGCCCACATTTACAGGTTTGGTGCAAGAACTACCTTGTTTGAAACATGCATTCAGTTGAAAAGCAGCTCCCTTCTGCATCCATTAGTATACTACTATTAGCAATCCAAAAGAGGCCTACTGGAGGTCAAAAGGTGCTTTTAGTGTCACATGTGAAAAGGACCCGGGACCTTTCTTCTGCTGAAGACATGGCATTTTCATGCAGTTATTTCTACATCCTTTCACCTTCCTTTCACCTCTGCCTTTCAAGAAATAGGAAGCACGCAAGATATTCGGATGCTGTGAAATTCAGCCACGTGAAGGAAGATCACTAGCCTGATATTTGCAAATTTTTGCAGCTTTCCTGCTGAAAGGTTTCTCAGGTATGCCAGACTTTCTCCGAGACCGTAGGAGAGCTCCATTTGGAAAAATATCCCATTGGAGATCTGGTGGTGGCAGCACTGCAGTGCTGCTCACTCTCCTTCACTGAGTGTCTAACCTGCTTTGGCCTTGGATTGCTTGCACCAAGAGCTGGTGGGCATGGCACTCACTCAATTCCTCTCCTCATGGTGGTTCTTCCTGACACAAGACTCATGCTAAGACATTGCAACTTTCCATCCTAGTGTAGTCCAGAACACGTTTGTAAGGTGTATACTGGTGGAGGGTGCTTTATTGAAAGAAAACTGGGCATATAGCCACAGAATGCTTTAAGTGCCGTTGGCTTGTGCTTCTCCCAAGTAACACATTTGGGCAGCAGAGGAAAAATATGAATGCACATATATATATATAATTGCAAAGTTGGAAGGGACCATGCGGGTCATCTAGCCCAACCTGCTGCAATTCAGGATTTTTTTGCCCGAGGTGGGGCTTGAACCCATAACCCTGAGATTAAGAGTCTCATGCTCTACCGGCTGAGCTATCCCAGCACCTTCAAGAGCTGCTAAAAGTTCTGCTTCCCCATTTTTTTTTTCAGTCAAAGCATTACAGGTTTGTATTACTTTAATGAAGTGAGAGTGGAGAAACAATCTTCTGTTTTTTGTCGTGTTCTCCCTCCCCCTTGGAGCAAGGAGGTGGTGGGGTTTAGATATGCTCTGTTTTCCCATGTCTAAATTGCCCTCTGCTTGAGGGACTTTAGGATCTTTTAGATCCCAGCTGCTTTCCAGCATGCCCTGGTTGGGATGCTTCCAACATTAGAGTTCCAACTTTGGCCACAGGATTGCACCTTTGCAGCTATCAGAATGGGTTTTCTTGAAAACTGTGTGGCCTCCACACCTCCCATAAACAGTTTTCTATAAAGAGTGCTATGTGGAAACAGTTTGGGGAGGGGGGAGGAAAGTCCGTTCGAGAGAAGCTGGATGGCAAAGTTCAGTATGTCCAAGAAGAAGGAACAGAAACTTTGGTGTTTCCAAACTCTTCTCTTGAAATCTCATGACCTTAGATTTTGCAAGCATTTCAGGAAAACTACGTGTCTACTGAGTACAGAGCTGAAGAACCTGGCTGTGATTCACTGCCTTACAGTCTGTGCAGTTAACTCCTGAATCATTGCAGGAAAGTGACTCTTTCAGCTCATCTGTCTAGCAGATCTGGTGTCAGATCGCCAAGAGGTTCGCTTCTTCAGAAAAGGAGGAATCCCAGGGAGACCCTAAGCTGTTCTAGGTGGGCCACAAGCTACATGGAGGAGTGGGGAAAACAGGGCATTGCAACAGCTTTCCCTGGAAAATGCCTTCCATACTCTCCGTAGTATATTAACTAAAGCACACAGAGGATTCATGAGCACATCCTCTCCCCAAGTCTGCTCACACATTTAACAACCTGAATCACAATGTGTGCATGCTGTATTCAGGGATATATTTAAGCACAACATTCCTGAATACATCTCTCATGTTTGGGCAGGGGGGAGTATCTACAGAAAACTCACTTCATTTGTTTCTGTCCGTAGTACCTCTCTGTGTCTCGCTTTGCCACACACAAACACAGTCAGCACATCCCTCGTTCACTGAGGATGAAGACAGAAAAGTCGCTTCTTTTAGGAAAAGGTTGCATGTGAATAGGTGATAAGTCAGGAGCTTTGGGGGAAACAGCTTTGCAAAGGTGTTGAGGTGGGATGAAGATCCACAGGCCAGTTTTTTTTAATTTTATTTTCAAGGGGCTTGACTCCCAATTTGTGTTTTTGTTTTGGATGAGGTCCACATTGTTTGTGTTATTTCCAGGTCAGCCAGCAGTAACACTCAGAACAGTATTACCTCAGCTGATGTGGAAATAAAACAGATCAGCCAGAGTTCATCAACAAAACGGGCGTGAGATGCTATGTTTTATACAGGTCCGTGTTGCAACTCCCAGGTCAGCTGGACCCAGGTCGTACCTAAAGGGAGGGACACAAAGGGCAACATTATGCTATTGTGAGCAAACATGCATGGGAAAAAATCTGAGGAAAGCCACACTGTTATCATTCCTCTATGGTCCCGAGGGTGTGTAAAGCAGAGTGACTAAATGTACCAAGAGGCTGAGCTGGCTGCACTGTTGTAAAGCAAGGAACAGGCCTCTAGGAGTGGGCCGTATTTTTAGACATTAGAAATGAAGTGAAGTGTGTGTGTTTGTGTAACATTTGTGTGCTGTAGCTCAGTGGGCAGAGTGTGAGGGTGTGGCTTGCAAAGGTTTTAGCAGCAGCAGTGGGTTCCAGGTTCAATTCCTGGCACCTTCAGGTAAGGCTAGGAAAAGAACAGAGAGCAGTTGGCCGTCAGTGTAGGCAGTACTGAACTGTTCAAGCAGGCCTGCTTGGCAGGGGGTTGGACTCGATGGCCCTTGTGGTCTCTTCCAACTCTATGTTTCTATGATTCTATGATTCTATGCCTCTCCATCTTTCTAGCTCTTGGGGCTCTCTGAAGGTCGCATCTCCTCCCTAAGTCATGCCCCCCTCCCTAGGCCATGCCCTTCACTGACCCAGCTCTGTTTCTTCCTCCCATGCCCTCTTGCTTGCTGGTTGCCGGCATGGACTTCTGGCTGGAATGCAGGTCACACCCGTTGCCACCATCCACCTTTTCGCCTCTGGTTTCAGCCACCACTAGCCTGCGGCCCCTAGAAGGCCACTCACAATGGAATGTGGCCCTTGGGCTGAAAGAAAGCTTTTCCACCTTTGTTTTATAACTGCACTGACTCCAGGGAGAGCAAGCGGCAAATTCCAGGGGTGACAGAAGTCCCAAAAGTAGGTGATTAAGCTGTTTGTGTATGTTGCAACAGCAGGTAGGATTCTTTAGGCACAAAAATGGAAGGAACCAGACGTTTCCGCCAAAGAAGAATGAATAAGTAAGGTGACGGACTAGGCAGAATTGGCAGTGTTGACAACCAAAATAAGAGAACCTAATGGCAAAGGTTTTGTGGAAGAATGGAAGCCTTTTTCAGACTATTTAAAGAAATATTATTATATGATGAACATGAGCAGGATTTGAACTATGAGCAACAGAAGAACATAAATATTATAGCAGTGTTGTTAAGATATAAGAGAAGACGGTGTGCTGCAGCAGAGGGAGAGAATTAAAAACACCATTGAAAAGGGGGTGGGAAATCAACGAAAACAACAAAGAAAACATGTTTTACTATGTACTGAAATGTATGTGTTGAATTTCTGGAAAACTGAATTAAAAATATATTATTTATTTATTTTTAAAAACAGAGTCAAACTCCCAGGTTTTTAATAGTTATGTGGAAGAGGGAATGTGTGGAGTTTGCTGCTTTCCACACAGAGGCAGTGTTTGTGTGTTTGTGTGTGTGTGTGTCCCCTTTAGCACCACATTGAAATACTGACAATAGCCCCTATTTTCTCCTCATATTATGTCACCCTGCTATCACCTGCTTTGGAGAGCCCTGCTTCCTTTCCTAAAGTGTGTGCTCAATTTCTCCTCTCTTAGCTGAGACGCTACACAATGTTATGACGGATTGCTGAGGGCAAGCTGTAGGAGTAGGTGCACTTTTCAAATATCAGGTTCAGTGCTTCCCACTTCGCTACCTGAAGTGCTGGAAACTGAAGTGCATATGCCCTGATTGGCAGGACTTGGCACCTTGAAAGGTTATTTATCACTAGAAGCAAACCACACATGGCGGATCACTCCAGAACTGCCCTGTGGTTTAGTTATCAGACATGGAGTAGGTAGAGGTGACATATGTTGTTGGATCAACTTCTGTTGCTGAAAAGAGATAATCATTCTACACCCCCAACTTACCTCCTGCACTTCTTGTTTAGGCACAACGAGAAGCAGAAACAAGAAAACAGCCATTGTTCAGATTATCGTCCATGACACCCGTCTGCTAAAAGAACAATGCAGTGCAACTTACAGCATTATTTTTTTTAAAAAAATAATTTATTAAAGATTTCTTAGTTTAAAAAAATACGTGCATAGTTTCTTTTTTCAAGTTGCGTTTTCTGTAGATCACTTACGTTTGTTGTGAGACATTAGTGTTGCATGCAGTAGTGGTTGGGGGGGAAAGGGGGAGGGGGAATGACAAGTGGGGTGGGGTGGGGTGGGGTGGTTATGCTTCTATTTTTCTACTTAGTGTATGCGTGGGGTTTGGTGTCAGCGTCACATGTGTGGCTTTTCTTTCCATTCACTTTTTATATTTCCTTGGTGGTGAGAGAGGTTGGGGGCTTATCATAGCATTTGATAGATCGGGCAAAATAGACCTACAGAGCATGTGGGCTTCTATCAGTGTAGCTTCCTGAAGACCGCTTAAAGACCAGTGCTTGATTGACTTGATTGAAGGAAGTTTGTCAGAGACCATAATTTTCCAAAAAGATGAAGGAGTACGATAGAGCTATTGTTGTCTGAATGTTGGCTGGATGGCCATCTGTCATGGATGCTATAGTTGAGATCCCTGCCTTGCAAGGCTTGAACTAGATGACCCTTGAGGGTCCCATCCAGCTCTGTCATTCCATGAGTCTATGTGGCTGTGAAACAGGTGTGGCACATTTCCAAGCTACTACAAAACCCTGCAATATCCGTTTTGCCAGAAATCATGGCAGGATGGGGGAGGAAATGAACATGTTGTTTGTGGATAAGTTATCACTCTGTCAATGTCATACCTTCGCAGTAGCGGAAGTTGTTCTGCTCCTGCTAGGAGTTATTTAACACTACTTTGAATACAACACTTAGAATCTTGCCTTCCCCACCCACCACCCCTCCCCATTTAGCCATATTTCCTATCTCATAATCCACCTGGGGAGAGGCATTTGTGTGAGCAAATCATCAAGCAGGGGGCAGGTTGTGCGTTCCTCTCCCCTGCCAATACCACCCTGCATTAACATTGCTGGTGTTGGCAGAGATCATGTGCCTATCTTGCAATATGTAGCTTCTCCTCTCTTAGCTGTCCTGGATAGAAGAGAGAGGGAAGAAAAAGGCTAAGCTGGTCTGAGCAGGATGGCCGTAGTGAAAGTCTTCATTAACCTCCTTTCTCAGAGAATTACAATCAAAACAGTGAAGCACAGGAACATCAATAGCCAGCTCAAATGTAAGAAGCAGTAAACCCAACTAGAGTATGCCTTAATAGTATCAGAAGTCGTGTTTAGCTGATGATGGCAGCCGCTTATCATTCCATCAACATGATACCATGCTGGCTTTATCACTGATTCACCACCCCTCCAAAGTGATATGCCATCAAACTTGTATCACTGAGCCTTACGACATTTCCTTTCATCGTGTTGTAATCACCTGTGTCATGAGCATCTGAGCAGGTTTGTACCACATTTCCTTTTACCGGTTTGATATATACAACCTTTCTTGGTTAACCACTGAGTTACTATTTGAAATAAACAAGAGCTGTTGCTGCACTAGGAGACCAGCATAGACAACAAACCTGTAACAGAGACAGAGAAACTGTGGCCCTCCAAAACTTCCTTGATGACACTGCCCATCATCCTAGACATGACAGATGGGGC